TCCCCACGCGCAGGGCTGCTCGCCTGCCCACGGGAGACGAGGAGGAGGTGGCGCGGGCAGAGCACAGGGGACAGGGAGCAAGCGCAGGTTGGCGATGGGCAAAACGGCTCCCCAGGTGTAAGCTGGGCATAACTGCTGGGTACTGACAGTTCTGTGGGGACCCTGCCACATTTTCCAGGCTCAGTCCGCAGAAAGTAGGGACAAAGGGACACTTCTTCTCCGTGCTGCGAGGCGGCGGGAGCCGCGTGGCGCTGCGGGGCTGGCTCCATTAGGAACGGGTTTAAGGCTTGCTTTGTTTTCCAGAGTGAGGGAAAGGGAAGCTCCCCTTCTGCTGCCAGCACTCCTCCTCCTTGTTTCCGAGCCACTTCCAACACCAGCTGCCGCAGGACTCCCCGGCAATGGGCAACGGTGGCTCAGGAAGGCTCTGCTGCCTGTGCTCGGGAAGGACGTACCAAGAGGGAGGGACGCAGCCCAAACCACCAGCCCCAGCTAGCACGTCTGGTGCTCCCTGTCCTCCGCGAGGAGCTCGGCCATCGCCTCCCGGCCCAGGTACCCTGCTCCGGCGGGGGCCGCCTCGTGGAAGCTCACCACTCTGCCGCTGCTGGCAAGTTTGGCGTGGGTGGGGGTCCACGACCCCTCCTCCCCCTCGTCCTCCTGGGCAGGCTGTGGCTGCTCACACTCAATCTCGACGTCCTCGATGTCCTTCTCCCGGTAGAGCGGCACAGACTCCAGCTCCAGGCCGCTCTCCAGGCCTCTGTGCTTCCCTCCTTGCTGGTACCACTTGCAGGCCGTGGAGCCATTGCAGGTCAGGTCGAGCCCCACGTTGTTCCTGCTCAGGCAGACCTCCAGCATGTAGTAGAAAGTCCAGAACACGGCAAAGCATCCCAACAGCAGGAGGGTCTGCAGAGGAGGAAACCCTTAAGAAACAAAGCCCTCAACCACCTCCCGTCCCTCCTGCGGACGAGGACTTCCCCGCTCGGCTCCAGCCGGTGGTCTCGCCGGCCCACAGGCAGGCTCACCTTCAGGGTGTTGGCTGTGATTGTGTAGCGTTGCTCCTCGGGGATCTCCAGCCCCGGAGGGCAGGGCAGGGAGAAGTCGCTGCTCAGGTACTGCCCGCTCATGGCTTCCTCCAGCAGCCTGGGGGACAGAGGCAGCCCGTGAGGGTCCCACATGCCCACAAAGGGGACGGAGTTTCTCTCCTACTGCTGAGAGTTGCCACTCCTGGGTCGGACCCAGCCAACAGAGCCATTTTCTACGGCCCACGGCTCCCCTGTGAGGTGTATTGAGGGCCGCCCCAGGGCTCCGCGCTAGGGGCCAGCGGCCAGCCTGCAGCCTCACCCTGCCAAGCACCTCGCAGCAACGCTGCTCCTGCCAAGCGGCGCCTGCTCGCAGGCTTAGGGTAACAGCCCTCAGCCCTTCGTCTCCTGTGTACCCGCCAAGACGGGGTTGTGGTGTCCCACCTCTGCCGCTCCTTCATCTCTGCTGGGGACCAGGAGGAGCCGTACAGGGTCAGCTGCCACTGCTTCAAGGTCCCAGGCCTTAGGCTTTCGTCTCCTGGGGAAGAAACAGGTTGGTCCAGCGGGGAACTCTCCCACCCGGCCGGGCGGCACCGCACAGAGCTAACCCGCGGCCGCCCAGGTCCTGGGCCGGCAGCTCCCCAGGGCACGGCCTGGAGCTGCTGCCACCACCTCATCAAGGGTCCCTGGGAGGCAGCACTCACCGAAGTCCCTGATGACCAGCCTGTACGTGCCCCGTGCCTCCTCGCCCCAGCACCGGACCGTGGAGAAGGTCCAGTCTGTAAAGCCATTGGGGTCCCTGCCAAAGGGCGAGGAAAAACGATCCGTGAGAGGGTATGGTAGCCTGAGCAACGAGGCTGGACGTGGCCCTGGCTCTCCTGCTCAGGGCCAGCTGGGCTGGGTGTCCTGCCCTGCAGCGGGAGTCTCCCCACCCCGTCCCCCTCAGTGCTTACGAGTCCATGCTCCTGGCAGTCCCTATCAGGGACATCATGCCACTGGGGCAGAAGAGCCTGATCTCCAGGTTGCCGCGGCGGGGGTGGGTTATGGTGACGGTGACTGCCACGTGCTCCAGGGTCCTCATGCCAGAGAGCTCCAGGTCGGCGGTGCTGACTGGGAAAAGGAAGGCAGCGTTTGCCCAGGCTGGTGTCCCCGCTTTCAGCCGGCCCTAAGGGGCTGCTGTGCCACTTCACAGGACACACACGCTCAAGGTCTCGGCCTCCTCCCGTGCCCCCGGAGCAAGAGGCAGGAGCCAGGGCAGCCACACCCCATGCAGGGAGGCTCTGCCAAGCGCCCGGCAGCACAAGTGTGCTCTGCTGTGCTCGGCGGCCTGGCCCTGGTCCATGCTCTGCGAGGAGCCTCCTTGTCTGTCCAAGCCGAGCCACTCACGCACCTCGTTGGCTAGCACAAGGAAAGGTGCCCCAGCACGGCTCCCTCCTGGGCACCCCACAGCACGCTCCGGCTGCTTGATATGGGCCAGGGCCAGTCAGGTCCTCCCGGACCAGAGGCGCGGGAAGCAGCCGGGACCCCGGCTGTCCTCTGCCTGCAGCTCTGCCCTTTGTCCCTTCCCTGAGTTCAGCCAGCACCGGGCAGGATGGGAAGGACGCTGAGAAAGGGGTGCCAAGTAGGTGGTGAGGAAGGAGGGGTGAAAGGCAACAGCAGCAGTGGGAAAGCTGACTCCCGGGAATCTCCCGGCACGTCCCGGAGCAGGAAGATGATATGAACCCACGCTTTCCTCTGCTCGCAGGGAGGGGGCCCAGGCAGGCCTCGCTGCCCTCTCCTCTGCCAGCAGCCAACGCCTCATTTCACAAGTGGGGCCCAGCTGCTGCCTCCAGGACTCGCCCGGCGGGCTCCCCGACATCCAGCTCTACCCCGGTCCTGACTCAGGGTTTGTGGGTTCAGGAGCCCACACCAAGTGCTTTGGCCACCGCAATGATGTCAACCCCTTTCCTGCCCTGGATTTGGGCCAGCTTTTGGCAGCCCCGGAGGCTGCTTTGAACCCACAGTTACAGAGCAGCCAGGTTGGGAAAGAGGACCGGGATGAGAAGCCTAGCGTCCACCTCAAACCATCTGCAGCTCCGCAGATGCTTGCAGCCCCAGAGCTGCTTATTATAGCACAGGAAGCCCTGGCACGCTTCCGAGCAGATTTCAGCCCGTGGCTCAGCCTCCTCCTGGCAGCCCCGGCTGAGCGGCAGGTGGGTGCTCCCCAGCCT